TAATAATATGAGAGGAAAAATGACCCTGAAGTTGTGTAAACCTGACTGGAATGCAGACATCTGTTCTGGTTAAAATGTTTCCTGACTAGGGTCCTCCATCCCACTTTAAATATTTATAGTTTTTAACTAGATTAAAACATTATAAGAGGGGTTTTATTCTCAACAACCTGCGACTGGAATTGATGTGCCAGCTTTTTCCAGCATCGCTCTAAAGTGAGAACCCAGTTTTAACAGCACCGCCCCACTGTTCATGTACACCCTTGTAGAAAATAGTTCCAGAAAGGAGACTGGAAGGGAAAGGAGAGAGAGAGAGAGAGAGAGAGAGAGACTCCCCTGAAATGGTATGGAAACAAGAATATAGTGTAGTTAAATCCTCAGGAAGTGATTGGCAGAAAGAACCTCCTTTCCCCACTCCTCCCTACAACATTAACAGCCTGAGCAATTACTGAGTGGAACAAACCCCTTTAACACCACCTGGTGCACTTTTTCAGCCGTTGGTCTTGCTCCCAAGCCTGTCATGGCTCATTTAGATAGTATAGTGCATTCTCTCTATAGGACTATTCTCAGGGACCATGGAGTTCAAAACATAATGAGATACAGAGATTTTTATCATGAAGTGTAGTATAACGTAACTGTGAGCCACAGTACTCAAGAGTTTAGTATCTGAGAGCTGCTTGGAACAGAAATCCTTTTTTTTTGGACTAGGTGGAGTACAAAAACAAATGATCTGGATTAAATATGTACACATTACTAACAGCTAAAGAAAAATGTGTTGGAGAGCAATCTCTCCAGGTTGATGAAAGGAGGTCTTATTTACAGGCACTTTATTTAAAAACCACATCTCCATATTTACCATTAACACTATATCGTTTCATATTCACAGCGCAGCTGCCCTAAACTATAATAATAGCTGGTTAAATTGTCAGTGGCCTGATTTGTACAACAAGGCAAGCCAAAATATGTTTTTACCAGGACCTCACAATCATGCTGCCCCCTGTAGAAGAGCTTGCAGCTGCCCTGCTCTTCTTGGTTAACTCAGCATGGCAAGGCAGCTGAGCCAAGGTTTGGCTTGGCATGTCACCCAACCTGAGCTTGTGGCAAAGCTCTCTGCTCCCTAACCATGAGCCGTAGCCAAGAACAAACCTGGGATACAGCTCACAGTTAAGGAGCAGAGAGTGTAACCACAAGCCCACATTCAGACAACATACCAAGTCAACCCATGGCTTAGCTGCCATGTCGCACAAAACTAAAAGAACCAGGGACGAACAAAGAAGTCTCAGTCTTCTTCTCAGAAGCCCACACAGTCACACTAAGCCATAGTTTGGCATAGTGTTATGTGTAAACAGGGCCACTGTTGCGTACAATGGTATATATATATATATATATTAATTACAAAACACCTACCATTTCATAATGTCCCAATCTCAACAGCATGGAACTCTAATGATTAATTTTTTGTTGGAGAAATGCAACAGCAAGTAGCTTCAAAAGGCAAGTGTTAAACTGGGAAAACCACATATCAGTATTCACTTCTCAAATTAAGCAACGTGTGAACAAAGTTGGGGTTTTCAATACAGGATTTCATAGTTCTTTAAAACTGAGATATAATGTATCAGAAGTGCAAGTTTCTATGTTTTAAAATGGTAACCCTCTTAGTATCTGAATATGCAAAGTATAAAGATACAGAGACTGGCAACTGTGCAAGCCATCCATTTGCTAAGACTTATACCTTATTGATCAAGCCTTCATTTGTGAAGCATTAAAATTATTTCTAGACAGCAAAAAATAATAATAAAATGCTTAGAATCATAGAGTTGGAAATGACCACCATGGTCATCTAGCCCAACCCCTGCAATGCAGGAATCATTTTTCCAACATGGGGTTCAAATACACAACCATGAGAGTCAGAGCCTCATGTTCTACTGACTGAGCTATCCAGCAGCTGGAGGCTTGAAATGTAAAAACAAAGAGAACAGAAGTAACTCCAAGAAAAGAAGTGGTTTGAAATGCAGGCAAAAGTGCAGAGAGCAAGTGGACAATATATTTTCTGACTTTTACAGGTTAACTTGCATGAACAAGAAAAGCTTTGATGTAATCAAATGTGGTTGTGGTTACTGGAGTACTGTGAGCACTTGTGGCTACTCAGATCTATTTCAAAAGGTATGCAGTACTTCCCATTCCTACAGTGTAATTCAGAATCTCTTCAAATCAACATACAAAAAATGACCTACACAAGTTGATGTGAATTTAAGGGGCAGTACCTTTCCAACCAATGAAAAATCATACTTGTGGTACAGTGGGGAAGGCTTAATGAGTAGCCACCCCATTCACCATGCTTACTTTCTTTACTCTCTGATTGCTGGTCAGCAATCCCACTGGATGGTGCTTCCCACTGGAGCAATTAGGTAGGGACAAGAATCTGTAGCCTTGCCAGGAGAAGGGACTGCTTGTCTCCCCCACCAAGCAAGAAAAACATGCAATCTCTTGATCCCAGAAAATGCAGGAACTGCACCTTTTGCACAGAGGAGAACAATAATTTACAAGGAACATATGAAGAAACCAGCCATAACAATGAAGAGACAGGTAGAAACTAACCGAGGAGGTCCGATGTACAGGGTTGGCGGAAGCGGTAAACTAAAAGTAATTACAAGTTAAGCACTGGCCCCAGAATGAAGGGTGGGTGTAAGTAGCTGCATCAAGAACAATTACAGCCTCACCCGTTATTCTAGACCCGCTACCAATTTTAGTTTGAAACAAAATTGATTCATTTATTCCCTACCCATACAGCATTTTTATCTCCTTGCTCAAGGTTGATTAAAAGAAGCCAAACATATATTCTTCCCACCCACTGTCAAGGGGGCTTCCCAGCCAAAGGAATGCACATGACTATTTATTGTCAAAGATAACACTTAGAATCGCTTCTCCAGCTCTGGTTATCTACACACACCAATCTAACGGCTAGGCAGTTATTCCCAGGTCTAGGCTCTATGGAGCAGTTGCAGCAACAGGAGACCACTCCCCCTTCACCAATTTATATACCTTTCCCTCACGGGCTATGTGCATGCAGCCAGAGACTGCACCTGCGTGGAAACTTCCTCTGCTCATCACCTTTCAATTACCTTCTGGTTCTGGGAGACAGTGGTGCAGGAAAGGATGGGAGAGCACCTGACCCTTCATTTGCCTGACTTGTCTCTTCCTCCTCTTCTCTCTACCCATCCTGTGTTCCACCCTCCAGCTCTGAGGCTGACCCTTCCTCTGACTATTGCCTCCTGGCTGGTACAGGTCCCTACAAACCACTGGCCCCCTCTCCCAAGTTGGACTCCAGCTCCCCTTCCCCTGGTGCACACTCATCAGCATCCTGCCAGTTCTTGACACCCATGCCAACCCTTCTACCCCAAAGTCAGAGAAGTGTTTTCTTATGGACTGCAACACCCCAGCAAACTGCACCTCTGATTACTCTAAACTTCCATACTACACAAGAACCAAGTTGAATGAAACCCAGTAAGTGTATTTAATGTGTCATTCTCACTGGTATAGGTTAGGAAACTAACTCATCCATAGCTATTGCTCATTCAAATACATAACATTTTAAATACATTCTAGTGCAAAGAGCCAAGAAACAGAAAAACACACATTTATAATTTCTCACCAACACAACCACATTCAGTTGCACCCACAATGAGTACCAGCCCAGACTGAAATATTTAAATGTTTCTGAGATGTTTTTGGCTTAGGCTTTGGGAAGTGTTGAGACTTAGTTTCTTGTTTCAGCTATTTCCCAACAGTAACTAACTAGTTAACAACAGGTTTTCAATGAAGAGACATGGTTTTAGTGAATGCTCCAAAGCTCCAAGTTCAAAAACATTCCAGGATATACAACACAGCATGCATATATGTATACATTTTAATGAGAAGGTTTGGCAGAGCAGTTTGGCAGACAAATACATTGCTAGAGGACTGATTATAAGACATATCTCATGTTGCTTTGGATTCCTGCATTAGGAGTTACTCTGCCCTTCCCCCTCACAAACCAGCTCTCAAAGCAGGCAAATTTATAGAGCAACAGTGTTTTTTTATTAAAAAAACTTTTAAAGAAAAGCAGACTCTTAGTGTCCTAGTGCCAGGTATCAGGTTGCTGAAAATAATATTAATAATATAAAGTAATTCATGCTCCATCTCTAAGACCCCCAAAACCATTTTTCCATTGTGCACAAACTGTTCTTTTCTATCTTAATTTCTCTCCCTCTCCCACCACCCCTAAAATAAAATAAAAGGCAATGATGTTAACAGGAAAGCTGAATATAAATAATGGCTCGCAAAACCAAAATCACTGTTAACTCTGCCAATAAAAATGTTCCTTCTCTTCAGGGATGGCTAAACAACTAAAAGTGCCTCTAATGATCTGCTGGCAGCGCTTGCCAACACAGCTCTAAATAGATAACTGCCTCTCTGAAGACTGCTAAGTACTCACTTCCAAGTAAATCAGTGGAACTTACTTATAAGTATTTAGGAATTAATGGGCAAATTTAAAATGGAAAATCCAATAGAACCTTACATTCTCTCCTTCCTTAGCTGCAATATGGTGTTCGTCCCCATTCAGAAAAACCCATCACTCCTCCTAATTAGAGTTTGTGCCTTAAATGCATTTACCTTGTCTCCACATCAATTTGATAATTTAATTCAAGTATCTTCCACTGTAATCTGGGGGCTGGGGTGTGCATACATGCCTGAGTGCCAATACAAATAGTAGAATCCATTTATAGGAATGCACTTGAATGCATGAGGTGTTATGTGATGGTGGTGGTGGGGTGGGAGGAGGAAGCCACTTTCTGTAAGATTCTCCTGTATTCCTAAACATTTCACATTTAGACTACACCATCCAGTCTTTTAATGTGGAGAAAAGAAGCAATGACTCCTGTGATAAAGGAACACTTTCAAACAGAAATTAATATAAGACCTGGAAGACAGAGTAAAGGCCTAAAAGAAATATTACAACATACTTCATCTCCAGGACCTCCTCCAAATGTTTCCTCCTCTCAGCCCGCAAGTTGGTCAAGTGGGTTTCCTTCTCAGCCAGAGATTGTTGGGTAGAGGACAGCTTTGCTTTCATAGATTCCAGCTCTTGTTTTACTTTCTCCATAGCCATCATCAACTCTTCCACCTAAGGAGTTTGTGAATGATAAAAGAGAAAGTAGAATGTATGCAATTAAAAAATAATAATCTTTGCAATGCACCAGAGCTACTTAATAATGGGGGGGGGGATCTCTCAAGTGATCCGTTCAGCCTTGCATTTACTATTTCCCCGAATTTGAGTTCTACTCCATGTTTTAATGTAAAATTAATGTTGTTATTACAAAGTAGAGACAAGCACATCTTATAACTTAAGCCCCACTGGTAATGAGTCTTTGTGTTCTGTCTTTATGCTTATATGAGAATTTACACATTTTGTTGTTGTTGTTTAGTCGTACATCACAAAAAATCTAACTATAGACCAATAATTCTTAATTTCAACATTATCCCAATATTGCAATAAACATCACAAAAAGCATACATCAAGTAACTTTTCAGTATGTATTACAAGACCTTGAACAGAACCCTTTTCCTCATGATATGTCTAAGTCACATGAATAGCTGAAGTAGAAGTTATTATGTACCATTTGAAAAACCAGCCTTCAAAGCAAGAGCTCTGTTACTAACACCCTGCTTGCCTGTACTAAAAGCAGCATTAGTTTGGGGCAGCACGAAAACAAACGTCCTCCCAAAGCCCAGTATTAATAATATTATTTAATTATAGGTACAGAAGATATTGATATATTCCTTTACATGATGTGTTGCCTTAATCTCTTTGTCCCCCAAAACAAATGACATTCTGCAAGTTGAGAAATAAATTCTTAAAAGAAAAACAGAACAGCTGTTTTGGGGGGGATGGAGGGAGGTGTCCATAAATTACTGAGAATTCTTTCCAAGTAGAACACAAAGCTGAATCTCGTTTGGAGACAGAAAGTACAAAATGGAGCTGGGGATTAAATATGTACTTTAATTGCCCAAGTTGCATAGCACAGCGAAGAAGTACATTATGTGAAGTGCCCAGCACATCCAGATGGTTTCCTTAAAATCACAAGCTAATAAACCTTTACAGAGATACAAAAAATGAAAAAGGAAAAAGAATTATAGCTTCACTGAAGGTCCAGTATTTCTAAGGAAGAGTTAGGATGCTTTAGATGTTGTCAAATATTACAGCCAATACATTTTTTCCCTCAACTGCTTCTGTCCTAAGATACAGAACACTCAGTTTCCACATCACTACTGAAGAACAAGTAAGCCAAGAACAAACCTTGGTAACAGCTCACAGTTGGTTTGAAGAGAAACAAACCATAAGACTAGGTTTGGAGATTACTACTTGCCAGATTCTGGTTTATTTCCTGGCAGTGTTGCGGCAGCAAGGGCAGAGGAAGAGAGGAGCAAGAATTTTCGGTAGTGTGAACTAGTACATTTTGTATTCACATTTAACTATAGTTTTTAACTAATGTGTGAACCAAGACAAAGAAACCAATGCCTGTGTTACCCCAGGGCTCTCCAGCTCCTTCCAGTCAACGCTTGTAGGATCATATAGTAACTCGGTACCTTGGGGCAATAGCAGGGACAGGCTAGAGCAGGATGGTCCAACACCCTTTAGGCCTTTTTGGCAGGCCTTGGCAACATTTGATGCCCCACCTCCTTGCAGCCATTGTGCTGCCTTGAGTAAGCAAGGTGTTGGGCTTTGAGAAGGAGGCATGAGGGCTCTGACAGGGTCCTAGAGTCTTCCTGTCTCCTCTCCGAAGCCTAATTAGAGCTTTCCCAGCTTTGGGAAGGAGGTGAGAGCGCTCTAGTGCCTCCTTCAAAAAGCTCAGTGCCTCGCTTACTGGCTTTGGAAAAGCAGCAAGAGGGTTGTGTATGTTTTGCTGTATCAAAGTATGGCCTTGCACTCCCCACCCTGCATGTGGCAAGGCAGTGTGCGGCCCGTGGGTTCTGTGTTGAAGGACTCTTGCGGCCCCCTTGTTATGAAAAGGTGGGCCACCCTGGGCTAGAGTATTAGAAGTAATTCAGAGCAGAACTACCAGTCAATTTTTAAAGGTATATTAAGTTACTTATTAGACATTTTGAACAATACAATTAAAGTGACATTCAAATGAAAGAAGGGGGAGGGAAATTGGTTAAGGTGTTTTGACCATATAAGTTCAAAATGCAAATATACTGGACTGTCAACTACAGTGTGTGTGTGTGTGTGTGTGTGTGTGTGTGTGTGTGTACACACCAGACAAGCAGTTTTAATCAGAAAAGAGAATCTGCAGGGGTTGGTTTTCTTAAAAAAAAAAAAAAAGAAAAACACCTTCCATAAGCACATATATTTCTAGCTAATTGATGCTCTATTACCAATATTAAAGTATAAGCAAGTGAGTGGCCTAATCCCACTACAATATCTCCCACTTCCTTGACTGGATTGTGTAAGAGAAATAACAGCAGCTCAAGCATCAGCAATGGTTGAAAAGACACCAGAAGGCAAATATTTGTAACACTAGACCAAAGAATTTTGATTTTATGGATCACTGCACGGCAGTCTAGAGCCAATCAGAAGCTGAAATACTTTTTGTATTTTCCCCAGAGTACAGGGCGTTGGGAGTATTAACATAGAGAAAAATAGGAAACAATATACGTAGAGAGAGGAGGACTGGCATTCAGCAGCAAAATAGTGGCATGCAGAAAGCAATAAAGTAAAATGTACAAAAGGTATAAAAAGGAAATCTTAAAACAAGCATACTTCCTGGTCATGGTGCTTAGTAAAGAAGTGCCTTACTTCAGTAATACAGAATGTATCACCAAGACATACATGATATGAGAGCTTTTACCTCAGGTTTCACCCTTTCTAACGTACATGAAGTACAGTTTCACCAGCTTGGTCTTTTACCATCAAAATATATGTGGTCCAGGGTCCAGGGCCCACCACAGAACATTCACTCTGCTGGAAGTAATGTACAAGGAACCAACAAGTGATTTAGGCAGACCTAAGGTTTAATGGGCCATCACTTGGCAAAGAGAAGGTCCTTCATAAGGAAGGAAATATTCACTGAGAAATTCATATTTCATTAACACAGGATGGAAAGATCAAAGTGATTATTTGGTTGATACAGAAATTATGTCTGCCTACACATGGAATAAAATACAGAATATCTAATAAGGAATATCTAAACAGGGCAAATAAGGCAATTTCCTTTATAATTAGATCTTTTTTTATTTAAGGATAAATAGGTCATTTTTTAAAACAGACTCTCTCATGCACAGAGAAGTATGTTATCAATGCAAACTTCAGAGTGGGATAATATGACAATATGAATGCCCTTGCTCCTATGTGAACCATAAAGGAGCTAAATTCCTTTTCTGAATAAAAAGAGGAAACCATTCTTCAACTCTGCCTAAGTTGCCAGACCTGAAGAGGAGAACTAGCAGCTGTAGCTTGTTAAGAGTGCTAGAAAAATGAAGGAAGCCATGCAAATAACAAACAGAGCCTTGCTGGCATGGGAGAAGTGTTCCTGAGAAGGAAAAGGAGTTGTTCTGTGGTCTTCTAATCCACGAGATATTTGAACCAGGCCATGGGAAAACGAGGAACTAAACAACTGAATGTCTGGCTTTTGCAAGGGCCTACATATTGGCACCAAACATTGTAACCAGTAGGAGAACTGTTTTCAATCCCTTCCGGCATCTGGACCACTAGTTTGATGAAGCTGCCCTGTGGCTGAAGCAGCAGCTTATTTTACTCTTTAACAGTGAAATGTTTACTTAAGTTATAATCACTTCTCTGTGTGAAGATGGCAGCTCAACATGAAGTAGATTGCCTGACTTGTGGGCGAGTTTAACTGGCGAACTGAAAGCCCACTGGAAAGCTTCAAAATATTTCCCACTATTAACTTGCATTAGCTCCTGGGTACAAACTTCAGAAATGCTTGGGAAAAATAGAAATGTGTCAAGCCACAGTACTGTATCCCAAAAGTGAATCCCTGCTTTAAAAAAGCAAGCTGATTCCAGGTATAGAACCCCATTTTCTAGTATGTTTTGGCTCATTTTGCCAATTTCCAATAAGGAAGTAACTCAGCTTAAATGGCTTCCAAAGAAGAGAAGGTAAGCCCCTTCTGTTTATTCAGAATTCTTGAATGGGAGGGGTCTCCCCATATTCCCCACTAGCATTCAGAACAGTCACTGGATGCAGGAGAGGCTTAAGGAACTGCCTTGCTCCATGCTTTTAGGGAAGGGGGCATTGCTCTTTGGTAGAGCACAGCAGAACATCCCAGGTTCATTCCTTGGCATTCCCAGTTAAAAGGGGCAGGTAGCAGGTGATGTCACAGTAGCCAATATTGGTTTAGATGGATGCATATTAAGACCTGGTTGGTAGAAGGGACTGACCTATGTTCCTGTGAAAGGACAAAGGAGCAAGAGCTGCCACCACTATCCTATGCTCACTTTTCTAAATTGCTTGGCTTTTAGTTTATTCATTTTATTTATCACATTTATATCCCAACTTTCCTCCAAGGATCTAAAGATGGCATACAGTACATGTTTCTTTTCCTCCCCATTTTATCCTCACAAAAGGTAAAAAGGTAAATGACCCTGTGAGGTAGGTTAATCTGAGAGACAACTGGCCCAAGGTTACCCAATGAGTTTCATGGCTGATTTGAACCCTGGTCTCCCAAGCCCTATTCCAACACCTACATCACACAAAATCTTCATTTGCCTTGGAAACTGATCTGCCCCAACTTGGCAAAATCTTAGTTGATAATGGATAAAACCAAGAGTTAATATCACAGCTGTAAACTTTTAAAGGCTATAGAGGCTCTGGCGTTCAGCCCTGGAAAACTGTACCTGGCCTCATTTTCTCATCATAACCTTTGAAACTAACCCTACATAACGTCTTCCATTTACTATCTATGTGACAAGTTTGGGCTGCAAAGTAATATAAAGAGCCATTCTTAGCGATGGCTCCTCAACAATGGAAAACTCTTGCCCTAAAGCTCAAGTTACAGCATTTGCCGTAACTGATGCAAGAGTAATTTCAGTTGCATTTTGATGGCTTGGGATAGGTAGAATTTTAATATTGGAGCCACTCCGAGCTGCTGCATCAGAGCACAACAT